TTAAAATAATAATTTAAATTATATAATATTAAATTAAATAATTATTTTATAATAAATTTATTTAAAAATATGAATATTTTAAATATTCGGATGATGTTTCGGCAACTGTTTTCGAACTGTATAGCAGTTCTCATATATATACTTGTCTACTAAGTACTAACTCACACTCTTAAGTCATTATTTTTAATATTTGTGACACACTGATATATAGATTTTAAGCTTGAACTAGAGTAGCTTCTTCAGTTCACCAAATCAAAACAAATCCACAAAAGAATTTTTAAGATCTTCCATCGAGAAAAACCTCTTCAAGCAATTTTTGTAACGGACATCACAAATGCACCACTCTCCAATTTCTCCACCTCCATAAGTTGCACAATTTTCTTTTGAAACCTGATGAATACTTCATTTATAACTTGTGCACCAAAACTTACGGATAAGAGAGGCTCCATTACTGCTCTTGCGTGCTTGGTGATGACTTTGGCTCTTATATTTCCATCAAGAAAAAAATCACCACCATCATCATTTATGCACTCATCCCAAGGCACGTTACAAATCTCTAATCTTTGAACAAAGAATGATCCTTCTTCCTTAATTACATGCCTTACTTCCTCAATCGTAGGTTCAAACACTGGTATGTTAAAGGAATCCAATTTTTCTTCTTCAATCAAACCCTGCGGCATGAATATATTCTTAAATATAAAGACATGATTAATTTCAAGAGACATTAATCAATAAAAGAAAATTTGTTATTTACCTCCAAGAACATGTCATTGAGTATTAGACTAATTATTTCCCAACAAGTTCTTCTAGGAGTTCCAGTGTTGCCGGAAAACACCAAGACCATTGCTCCTCCATACACAAGTTCTTCCGAACGTGATTTCAGAAACAATTTAAAGTCTTTTTGAAACTGATTAAGGTAAGCTTTGTATACATTTGGAGGGCTTGTGCTAACTATGTAACAGTTTCCCTTTTTAAGTGATTTTGTCTCCCTATAGTCAACCCCAACAATGGATCCTACAACCAAAATATTATTTTATCATTATTTTTTGCTTTGTTTATTTCATTATTTTCATACAATTTTGATAGTTTGAACTGCCACATTCTAAATCTAAAAAGTCATTATTAACGTAGTTAAAAGAATTATGGCGATGTAAGAAATCATTATTTATGTAAATAATGATGATTTTAACCACTATTATTTCTAATAAGAAACATTATTTACTTTTTTTTGTAGTGAAATAAATTCAATCTAGCATATTTAAAATATGTAATTTTTTTTCTATAAAGAACACAAGTATCATTTAGCAGAAACAATCTTATTTAAAATTGTTATGGACAGAACTTTTCTTCCAAATATTTTAATAATTATGATGTACAGAACTTAAATTCAAAAATATTAATTAAACTGCAATAACATTGTATCAGTTAATTTGTATACTCAGTTATTTGTGAGTGTTTCATTTGTTTACTATATATTCTTTTTTAACATGTGATTTTTTAATAGTAATTTCCCTCCATTACTTCATCCAGAGTCCTATGCATGCGTTGCCTTTCATCTTCCTGGTATGTCTGAACATGCTCCTCTTTTACTTCATCCAGAGTCCTATACATGTCAAACATTTAGTTAAAAGGTAAATTTTAATTTGTAATACGTGTTTTACTTTTATGCTCTTTATTATAAAATTTTAATTATGTAACTTACGTTCATTTTATTTTCTTTAGTGTTATGGCTGTGTATAATGTCATGAGTGGTATATCTACTGCACTATCAAAGAACTTAGAATGGATTTACCCCATGACAAGTAAGTGGTTCGTAATTAAAGTCAATGTGCCTAAGAAATTCTTTTATTACCTTAATAAAACACCACTATTATTACTACTTTATTTGGTGTTCGTTTTAGAGTTATAAACAATAAGGACATTATGAATGTGGATACTATGTCATGTATTGGATGTAGGGGGAGTAACAAATGGTTGGAGTGAGGTACATTTAAAAATACTAATTTCTTTTAATTCTTTTTATGATGTAACTAATATATGATGTATATATGTTGCAGCTTTTTGAAGATGCTACACCATTGGGGGAAACCAAATTGGAAGACATTCGGATTCATTGGGGAAATTTGTTTTTAGAAAAATTTAGAAATAGATCATGTTAAAAGGTCTAGTATTACATGTAAAATTTAGAAATAGGTGAATGTGCTTTCAGTATTAGGCTTCCCAGTGCATGTCTAATGTAGTGTGACCTAATTTTTTTGATCTTTTCTTCTCCTTGTAAGAGAAAAACTCTTCTTTATGGATACTAGATTAGCCTCTCTTGGTTTCCAAGTATATTGTTTCTTTAGTATTATATTTATTATATAATGATGTAATTGAGCCATTTCTATAATGATAACGATCCCAAATTGGTCTCTGTTGGTTTCTCTTACATTGGATAATTGAATCAGTTTTTGCAGGTTATTTATAATTGAATCAATTTTATTTTAAAAATTAACCTGGTTAAAAAAAATACAATCTATAGCGGTTCTAAGCAAAAACCGTATATATGCACATCTAAGTCGGTTTTGAATAAAAACCGTCTTAAATGTGCATATATACATCTAAGTCGGTTTTGAATAAAAACCGTCTTAGATGTGTATATATACATCTAAGTCAGTTTTGATAAAAACCGACTTAGATGTATGTGCACATCTAAGACAGTTTTGTAAAAACTGACTTAAATGTATAAATGCATCTAAGTCAGTTTTAAAAACCGACGTAGATATGTTCATTCATCTACGACGGCCTTATCTAAGTCAGTTTTAAAACCAATGTAGATATGGCAAAATAACTGACTTAGAATACAATCCTTCTAGTAGTGGAGGGTCAAGTAGAACTAGGAGGTGCCCAAGCTCAAAGGTATGTCTTTTAATGCAAACATTTCAAGTGATAGTTTTCCATTATCATCAGCTAGTTCAATAGTCTCAACTTTTGTAACAAGTGCTACTAATGAGGTGTGTTGGGCTATAGGGATGGCTTTAGTAGGTTCTTCTACAACTAGAGTTTTAACCTTAGACATTATTGTTTGAGTTGGGCAAAAACTTTCTTTTATGTTAAATGCTCCTATTTGAGCTGTTGATGAGAGTCTTAATCAACCCAAATAGACATGTTCACTATAAGAAAATTGCGAATTAGAGAGGGAAAGATCCTTCGCAAATCCCTCACAAATCCCTCGCTAAACAAAATGGCGAGGGATTAGCGAGGGAGTTGCGAAGGACTATTCCCTCGCTAAATTCAAGTCGCTAATTACCGATGGATGCATATCCCCCGCAATTCCCTCGCTACATTCCTTCGCTTTTCCCTCGCAACCATCTTCGCTAGTCCGTCGCAAATTTGTGCCGCTAATTCGTCGCTATCGCCTCGCAAATGTAGAACCTAAATTTCCTCGCTAATTGCATTTAATATTTACTCGCTAAAACGTCACAAAACATTCGCAAGATATCCTTAGCTACTTTGTCGCTACTCTATCGCAAAATATTGTTTAATTATTTCCTCGCTAATCTTTCGCCACTCCGTCGCAATTATCCCTTGCGATATTGTAGCTAATTCCTCGCAACTCTGCTGCAATATATCAATTGAGGTCCTTCATAAATCCCTAGCTAACCCCTCGCAAATCCCTCGCTAACCCCTCGCAAATATGTCCTTCGCAAATCCCTCGCTAAGCCCTCGCAAATATGTCCTTCGCAAATCCCTCACTAAACCCTCGCAAATATGTCCTTCGCAAATCCCTTGCTAATCCCACGTAAATCCATCAAAGCATATGGATTGAGTTCCCTCGCGAATACCACGCTAATCCCTCGCGAAACCTTCACAACATATCTTTTGAGTTTCCTCGCAAATCCCTCGCTAATATCTCGCGAAACCTTCCTAATTTATCTATATATATACATTATTCTCTCATGAATCCCTATAGATATGCCACTTAATTTGATATTTTAAATAAATCTAAATCATCTACATAATTTTTTTCAATTCGACATGATTTAAAATAAAAGTTGCATGTAACAATATCTCTTACAAAACCAAATTGTTAAATGTCTTACAAAATCCAACTTGTGCATACTATCTTAAAGAAACCCAAACTAATTAATGTCTTACAAAAAGAAAAGCCAAATAACGAGTCATCCTAAATAGTAATCAACCTAAGCTAGTGAAATCATCATCTCGTCCTTGATCCTCCCTATGTTGGTTGGTTGATGGTGTTGTTGATGCTTGAACTGCCTGAATTATTTGCCTCATCATCTCTGTTAATTGTGTTTGCAAAAAAGAGGCCAATGCATTATTTATAACTATAGTGACTCGTTCTTCTGTCATAGGCCTAAGATTTGTAGAGGAACCTGCAACCTCTGGAGATGAAGCTTGGGTAGAGCTACTAGTTCCAAGATCCAAGCTATGTCCCATGTCATACACTCTTTTCTTATTGTTTTCACCTGCAGCTTTTAACCAAAGATCAGAATCAATTACAAGATGAGATGAAGTGTCTTCTCCATATTTTTGTGTCATTGATTCTTCATATGTTCCTACAAATAATAAACAAAAAAAATAAGTGAAATAGCAAGAGGTTAAAAAAGTACATAATCAATCTTAAAATATAAAATAACATACAATAAATTTGTTTGCCCTAGTTGAGACAAATTCACCATCATTTTTTTTGTGAACTTTGTTATACACTTCACGATAAGAAACATGACGATTCTGTTGTGCCTCTTATAAAAGATTACAGTACAAATTGTAAGTAATGAAATTTACTAAAGAAACTCATTAATTTTCAAAACCTTCAACTTTCACAACTTGTTAAAGAATTAAAAAAAATGCACTTAAAAAAATCCATGGGTAAAGAAATTTTTTTTAAGACATCATTAATAACACAATTTTAATTGTAAGAAATTCCAAATATTAGCTAAATTAATAAATCTAAAAAATAAGTAACTTTTACGATGGATTATCTAAGTAAAATAATTATATTAGAATAGGAATAAAGCAAACATCACTCATTAATTATTGACAAAATTCAATATGATTTGATTACCATAGTTTTTTTGTGTTGCCTGAAGCTTCTTGACCCTCCTATGTGCACCATTGTTTCAGGCTGGGCAACCCTGTTTTGTCTTCCAGCAATAGATTTCTTTTGCCATTCTGGTGTCTTCCAAATGTCGATCAACCCATTCCATATTTCAGCTTTCATCCCTCTAGGCTTGTGAGCCCTTAAATCCTCATAATTTCTTGAGTTTGTTACTTTTATTACTTTATCCCTGTCTTTACACAATTGATCAGAATACCTATCCATGCATGTTTTTTCCCAAACTTCCCTCGCCATCACACGATCATATTCTGATGCAAAACGATATTTTTCCCGCAATAATACAACTGAAGTAAAAAAAAAATAGTTGTTGATATAATGATATAATATATAATACTATTAGATTAATTACTTACCTTAAAATCATTAAATAACATTTCTTTCATTTCAGGGCAATAACTTTTCCAACAATCTGCAGTATAAGGCATCCTTGACATTACCTCAGAAATGATATAACGAGTCACAAATTGTTGAGCAAACCTCTTCCTATAATTCAATTCAAACCACAAATAGTTCAATAACATGAATTTAAAGTATTAATTGATCATATTCATAAATTCAATTTTACTTATGGTTTAGAAACTGTCTCCACGGATATTATTTGCCTCCTATCAACTTCTACATTAGAATCTTCACTTGAAGGCACCATAGTAGGTTGTTGATTATCAGATGTTGGGATAGTATTTTATTCACCACCATTAATCAAGGGAGTGGTATCAGATGATTGTCCACCACTAGCTGATGTAGCACCACCATTAGCTAATGAACTAGTAGATCCATCACCTAGACAAACATAGTAAAGAAAAGTTAGATTTTATCCATTGCATTTAAATAAATATAGAGTTAATAATTAAAATGTTATTCTAAAAGTGTACGAGGTGAGTGATGAGAAACATGTGGTGGAGGATTTGAAGAAATTTGAGTGAACTGATGAGGATTATTGGCTTGATTAACCCGACGCCTTCTTCCTCGAGTAGTTGGCATAATGATTACCTACATAAAATGCATTCTACATACTATTTTTCTTCATTTTTTTGGCCATCTCAAAAGATGGGATAGCTGGCCCCAAGATTTAACGCGGCTGCATACACAAGGCAGAATTCGAACTCCTGACCTTGCTTAAGCGTGGATCAACAACCCCTACCGCTGAACTACACGTTTGGAGTTATTTTTTTTTATTTTTTTTTTGGCCATCTAATCTAATAATTTCAATAAAAGTCAATATAAAAAGGTAAATCAAATTTTTTTAAAAAATCTTTCATCTCTTCTTATGAACCAAATAAGAAAAAAAAAACATTTTTCATCCCATTTAAAATCTTTCCCCTCCTTCTAACCAAACAAACCCAAAAAAAGGTAAGAAGGAATAAAAACATAAAATTATTTAAGTGTTTAGACTATGAAATGTTAAGAATAAGTGAAATGTTGGGCTAGACTTTTAGTCCAAACTCTAAACCTTTATAAAAATATATAATTAAAAAATAATAATATATAATAATTGATCGTTAGATCATATTAAGTTGGATTTTCAACACCAAAATTCATAATTTGGTCCAAATTTATTAAATTTGCATTCTTTTAATTCAATATGAAACAATGATCTAATTCAATCTTAATTTTTAGATTTCGATTGGTTTTGATTCATTGATTTCTTAAATTGGTCTAAATTCATAGTCATCTATAACTCCAACTATTAAACAAGTGAGTGTAAGTTAGCAAATGTTTTTGAGATTTGCTAACATACACACACTTCTTCTTTAAAAAGAATATATTAATAAATTATAATAATAACATTCTTATTAAGTTACTTCTTCTAAAAAATAAGTACGTGCATGTGTGTAGGAATACTTATTAAAGATAAAAATTTGTTATCGATATTTTACCTTAAATATTAAGGGTTAATTTACTATTATTTATTGTTTAAATTTTGCCTATAAAAGATATATAGTGTACTGCACAACTTTTGTATGAATCTTAGTGAATCAGTTAAGTAATTTCAAAATACTCTTTCTCTCTCTCTCTGGTTTCAATTTCATAATGAGTTTAATGTTTATAGGGTTGTCCTTCTAATAACAATGAAGAAGATTTTTTTTCTTATCTAACGCATTATAATACATGCTAATAACGTAAAATTCTTTCACCTTTTCATGTTAGCTTCAGGTTTACAAAAGTGACGGTTGGGTCATCATCTTGAAACGGTGATTTTTCAAGTTTTCCTGTTAATTTTGTTTCTCAAGAAAGCATTTTCATTAAAATAACTCGAAACATTATTATCATTTGGCACCAACATCATTAAAAAAAACAAAGACACGTCTTCACCTGTCATTTTCATTTCCTTAAATGCTCTTCACATAACCATTCTCTTGTACAGATTAATAGCTCTATCTGCATATTTATTTGACTACGTTTTTTTTTTGTTTTTGTTTTTATCATGGTCATACTTTCTTATTTTAGCAATTATTCTCTTTTAACATTTAACATTTAAGCCTTCCCATTAAAAATAAGAATTACATCAAAAACTTTTTCATATTACACTGCATTCTACATACTATTTTTCTTCATTTTTTTGGCCATCTCAAAAGATGGGATAGCTGGCCCCAAGATTTAACGCGGCTGCATACACAAGGCAGAATTCGAACTCCTGACCTTGCTTAAGCGTGGATCAACAACCCCTACCGCTGAACTACACGTTTGGAGTTATTTTTTTTTATTTTTTTTTTGGCCATCTAATCTAATAATTTCAATAAAAGTCAATTTTGACAACAATGACTAGGTTGTGACAAAAATAATATAAAATATAAAATACAACACATTCAGATCAAAAGTTAGGACAAAAATGTTGAAAATTTGAACTCCTTCCGCCGGCGCCGTATATCCAAAGCGTGTTTTGTTGTCCTATGCAGAGAATCGAAGAATCATAATTTTTATATGTTGCCTTTGGCTTTTTATACATTTCATTCTCAAATATCAACTCTAAACTTGGGCGTTTACAAATATCTTTCAAATCAGCTCTTGCATTTGCATTGTCTTTCGTCTTTCCCTTTATGTCCATGACAGTGTTAAAGATATTGTCAAAGTGTTGCTTCCTACATTTTAGCTTCTCTAGTGGCCAAGTCTTCATTTTTATTCTTTTGTTATTTTGCCTCTAGTTGAGACAGAAGCTTAGCATGCTTGATGAACGTCTATTCTTCCTTCTTCTTCTTAGGCTTTAGGAGCCCATGCATAAGGTGTCTCTTCTTGGGCTATTAAGATGGAGGAGACTTGGGTTGAGTGAAAGGTGGGTTAGATGATGGTGCAAAAAAAGGTTATGGGTGAAAAAGATAGAAGGTTAAGGGTTTTTCATTTGAGCCAAATGAAGATTCATGGATGGCTATTTTGAATGTTTTGGTGGCTTTTGTTTTAGGTGGTGGTGGAGGTAGTTGTGTTTGGGCTTATGTTTGACGTTGTGGTTGGACTTGAAGGTGGTTGTAAAGGCTTCATTGGTTGGTTAGGGGCTTCTTGAAAGGTTTTTTTCTCTTAAGGTTCCATTTTCACTTGACTTGGCTTCCTCTTGTTGGTGGAGTTGATTTCTCCCACCCCTTTCCCCTTTTTCTTCTCGTAATTGATGATGCTGATCTCAATCTCTTGAACAAAATTTGTGAAGACCATCCTGTATGGAATAGGTGCCCTCTTCCTTCATTGATGGTTTTTCTTGCTAAGATAGGACTTCTAGTGACTTATGATCATACATGATATATTAATCAATACTCTTAAGCAAAGGTTGTACAAATAGAAGCAATTTACATTTGAGACATTATCCTTGAAGCCATATTAAAGGATGAACTTGTTGAAGAGCAGATTGTTCAACTACTGAGTTTATTGTTGAGATTGTTGAATTTATGGTAATTGTTGAGTTAATTACTGAGTCAATTACTGGAACCTCTCATGAAGATCTTCATGAATACTGAAGAAGTTTTAGTTTTGATGATGTTAGCATTAGATTCGTATAGATTTATTTAGTTTGCTTCATTCATTTTTGTATTTCATGGCCTATGTTGAAAAGGATATTGGATTGCTTGATATTAGACTTAGGCTTGGATGTGTTTGCTTATTATGATGAATTAATTTCAAAATTATATCTTGTTTTAGAAAGCATAAAACTTATATTTCTACTTAATATTTTCATTTCATGTGAAAACATAATGTAAGAGATTATAATGTGTTTTGACATAAAATGGAACTTGGTTCTTTCAAAAGAATTCATGATTAAGTCAAGTTAAAATTACCATTTGAGGTAATAGATTACTGAAACTTAAATTTGAAGTGGAATTCAAAATCCTCTCTGTGATAATCGATTACCTATTGATGTAGTTGATTACCATGGTGACTTTTGAGTGAAAATAAGTGAAACAAGTTGAAAAAACATCAAGATAATCGATTACCAACTTCAATAATCGATTACCTCTTTTAAAAAATGAGTTCTATGGTTCCTCGGACATGAGATAATCGATTACTAGGATCAGTAATCAATTACCTCTGTTCTTGTTTCAATAGATTTTAGTTTCATTAAAAATTGGTAATAAATTACTTGATATTGGTAATAGATTACTGCTATTATGAGATTTTAATGATGAAATCTTATTTGCTTTATAAAAATAACTTTTTTAAAAAACTTAAAAGAAAGATGACATATTTGATTAGAAAGATCATAGAGTGAAAAAGAAAAACATTTTCAAGAATCTGAAAATCATTTTTTTTAGTAAAGATCAAATATTTTTCAGAAAAATCAAAGAGTAAAGCAAATTCAAGAAAGATGTTATGTTGAAAAAAGTTCAAGAAATTCAAGATTGCTGAACAATTCTTTATGGAAGATCAATATACACATCAAGTGTATTAATTCTGATCTTTACCCTTTTATTTTGTATAGCTAAGTACTATGGTATGTGACTCTTTGAGATAAGGGCATCTCAAGAAAAAGTGAAAGAGAAATCTTGAGATAGGTTTTCTCAAGTGGATTCTTGAGGTGTAAGAATTCTAGTGATTGTATAATCTTCTGGGATAAAGATTAGGTGATTGTGTTTCTTGATTAAAATATTGCTAGTACATGGTGTTTGTAAAGCCTAAAGAATATTATAGTAGAAAGACTGGATTTAGCAGGGAGCTAAGTCTGAAACTAGATGTAGGCCTTTGTATGGTTGAACCAGTATAGATCACTTTGCAATTTCTCTCTTTACCTTCATATCTTGTTATAATTCATATTGAATTGATAAAAAGAATTTCAAGATAGTAAAAGAAATGTTTTCTTGAATATTATAGATTGCTGATTTGTAAAATCATTATATGATATATGCAATCTGGTAATAAAGTGAAGGAAGGTAATTGCTAAAGTCAATTTAGATTCTAGCTTTTATTTCATTGTGTAATAAATATGATATACTTTGTATCTTGTTTGGTTTATAAGCTGAATGTGATTAGTAAAAAGTTGTATAAGAAAGAAAAA